CTCCGGGGAGCTGGCCGGGTGCCCACAAAGCATTGAGCATACTGGACGAGGCCTGTTCACAGTAGCCAAAATGCAGAAAGAACTCGTGTCCGTCAACAGGTGGGTGGATAGATGAGGGCGGTGGGCACACAGTCAAATGTCGTACAGCCCTAAAAATGATGGGGCCCTGACCTGTCACCACACGGGTGAACCTTGAGCACCCGATGCTGAAAGCCACCAGTCCCAAAAGCACACAAACCGTACGACTGCACGTGTATGAAACGTCTAGAATTTGCAAATCCGTAGAGAAAGCGTAGAGGTTCCCGGGGGCTGAGAGCAGCGGGGAGGGGACGGGGAGTTCTTGCTGGATAGGTACAGGGTTTCTGTTTGAGGTCATGGAAAAGCCTGGAAGTAGACGGCAGTAATGGCTGCACACCATTGTGACAGTCATTAATGCTCCCGAACTGTCGCTTGAAAATGGTTAAGATGGTAGGCCCCCGGGTGGCTCAGTTGGTTACGTGTCCGACTTCGGCTCAGGTCATGATCTTGCGGTCCGTGAGTTCGAGCCCCGCGTCGGGCCCTGTGCCGACAGCTCAGAGCCCGGAGCCTGCTTGGGATTCAGGGTCTCCGGCTCTCTCTGCCCCTCCCCCACTCCTGCTCTCTCAAAAATAAACAAGCATTTTTTTAAAAATTGAAAAAAAAAAAAAGATCCACATCTGTATTTTTGCAGAGGGAACTTTTCCTTACAGGCCCTTCCCGACAGCTGTGCTGTTCTGGGGCGGAAGCCACGCCACAGGCCGCCCCCCGGGGTTGGTAGGGCGCTAGGGGGGCCGCAGCACCTCCCTGCTCCCCTAGGCCAGCTTTCCATTCTTTCCACGGGGTCACCTTGCAGCTCCAGGAACAACGGGGGAGGGGGGAGGAGGGGAGGGGTGTGGCCAGGCACCTGCCTGCCTCACCTCCCTTTAACCCAGCCCCCTGCTCCCTCCACCCACCTTGGCCTGCAGAGTCCGCTCACCCTCTCAGAGCCTCCCAGCAGATCCTGGAATGTCCTGAGAACGCGGTGGGGGGGCAGACTAAGAAAAGCATGAAAGGGGACACTGGGAGGCAGGACAGCCCAGGGGTTTGGCACAAGGGCTATGAGTCCCGCCCTAACCCGCAGGCCCGGCTGCGAGGGATCTGCGTCTTAGCTCGGAGGGGGCTGCCAGGCCATCTCATCTCAGGAGGACCCTGCCCTGGGTCGCTGTCCACTCCCTGTCTGCTCCCCGGGGTCAGCACATGTGTATTTATTTGTCCCGGGTTTCTCACTGGCCTTCCCCCCTCCCTGGACAGCCAGCTCCAGGATAAGGATGAGATTCTGTGTTACTCACCGGCGAGGCTGATGACCCGGGAGGTTGTGGAGGAGATGGGGCCCAGCGTCTACGGGAGCCACGGAAAGACACAGCCCTGGAAGCATTAAAGTGCAGGTGGGACTCAGCGATGTCTACAAGGGTCGGCCAGGGGGACGCCTGGGTGGCTCAGTGGTTGAGAGTCCGGCCTCGGCTCGGGTCGTGATGGCACATTTGTGAGTTCGAGCCTCGCATCGGACTCCGTGCTGACGGTGCAGAGCCTGCTTGGGATTCTCTCTCTCTCCCTCTCTCTCTGCCCCTCTCCCACTCATGCTCTCTCTCTCCCAAAATAAATGGATGAACTTTATATATATCAAAAAGAGTACACTTATCTTAAACTAAACTGATAAAGTGGTGCCCACGGAGCTCACCTGTCTGCACATGGCTCCGGGAGCCCAAGGGTCAGAACCTTTCCTCCCGGCATCCCCACACCCAGGGCCTCAGACACCTGGACCGCTTCCGTGGAGGCGGGCACAGCAGCGGCCGCAGGAGACGAGAGAGCCAAGCGGCTGGAAGGCTGGGTGCACTTTGACCCGCTTCCTGTGCAGCCACACGGGAGGGACTGGAGACACAGAAACCCAGGCCGCCTGACGTCCTTGAAAGACGCCCTCCAGGTTTCTTCTTTCTTTCCTCCTGCTGAAGGCCGCCACGACAGGCAGCGCCCCGCTCTCGGCAGGGCCAAGGGGTCTGGGCTCCGTGTGCGGAACAGAACTGCAAGGTGGGGGTCTTACCTGCCCCCAGGCTCCTCACCAGACCTCAGGGTCAGCAGTTTAACAGGTTGTCTCTGGGAATGATCTCTGAGGGACAGAGCCCATAAATAAATAAACATTTTTTTAAAAATTTAAAAGGATCATTTTACTTATTATTTTTTTTAGTGCTTGTTGATTTTTGAGAGAGAGAGAGACAGAGTGAGAGCAGGGGAGAGGCAGAGAGAGGGAGAGAGACGCAGAATCTGAAACAGCCCAAAGCGGGGCTCGAACTCACTAACCACGAGATCATGACCTGAGCCGAAGTCGGACATTCAACCCCAATGAGCCACCAGGTGCCCCAATTTCTTTCTTTTTTTTTTTAATGTT